GCTGACCGATAAAAGACCTAACCCAACAGTATCGCTAAATTAAATATTGAATCAGACATCACAAAAAGTTTAGAGTATTAACAATGAGTATAGTTCTTCTAAAGCTCACGGGAAAAAAAAATGAATTGTAAATATTTACTTGTTTTGTAATTAGTGGATAATAATAACTCAACCTACTTTTATATTAATTGTGTCTAATTTATAAAGATAACATAATGTTTAAAGTTTAAAATCTGACTTTTGTTCAACTCCTTGTGGAAGCAAGTCCTTTTATGTGTAATTGTAATTTAAATGTATTGCAGTAGGTACCTATGATAAATATGAAATCAGTGAATATAGACAAACAAACCGAGATAATTCACTTTTTTGTTGATATATAACCATAAATAAACTATTTAATTCTTTAAGTTACTTTTATATTATAGATTCCAATATAGAAGAGTAATTCTTTCTAAAGACTAAACATTTTTTAATGTACATTTTTGATTAAATTGTGAATTTTCCACCAGGAATTACAAAAAGTGAATACATTAAATATTATATAAAAACAAATGTTAGAAAGTGCCAAAAAGGATAACGATAACCATTTGTCACCGGAAAGTACGTTTTGACGGGCTCGGCAGGTGGAAAAATTCAAATAATTTTTTTTTTGGGGGGGATGGAAAAACATTAGTACCTTGGCGCCAAATTTCTGAATATGTCTGTGCACACAATAGAAATAGCATAACCCACACATATGTTTTAGCCTATTTGAATTACATACAAATAAAACAAATAAGTAGGTAGGTATACATTATATACTTACTGATTGACTAATTTCTTCTTGTAAACAAGAAACATAATATTCATATATATTATCTAAGATAGGTATGTCATATGAACACATCATAATGATCAACAACCAATATGATTCTATATACTCAATTGGAAAGTTCTCCATGTCTTGTTTAAATTCAGGTAGTAATTGTCAAACATATTGAATGATAACAAAGAAACTATTGGTCATGGAAAATTATAACCAATGTGAGTCGTTCCTAGAAGCAAGTACTGGTATAAATGACTATTACAGATTTTTTAAATATCTCAAACTATTTTAAAAAATAAATAAACAATACATAGGAATTGTTAGTTATTAAAAAATAATATTCAATAATTAAAATCATATTTATGTATCATAGTTTGTGTTATGGGTGATGTGTATATACACTGATACACTAATTATAACACAGATATAGAATATAGATGGATCTGTGAGTTATAGAGTTAAAACCGGGAATCGAGACTTCATGAACCTAAATCCACAAAATAAAACATTAAAAATGCGCTTAAAAACGTCAAAAAATCTATGCTTTTACATAGATACAAATGAATTAACTATTCTTTATGATGGTATATAGTGCGCTTTCTGGTATGCCAAATTCTTTATTCCATCGATACTCGGAATACGGAATTTTCTTGTTATCTATAGTTTTTCCTTCAAGTAATCGAGATTTTTGTTTGAGAACATCATTTATTTTTATTTAACAAGGTCACATTGTATAACACTTTGGAAGCTAAAACTACCATACGTTGAGTAAAATGTACCAAACTTTGTCACACTTATTCGGCTTGTTCAGCAATTGTATTAAATTTATTACATTTAATCTCAGTCTTTCAAACTAGAATAAATTAATGTTCTTTAAAATTCCTTTTTAAACATTTTGAAAAGGTCAAAACCATTATCTACTTTTATTTCCAACAATTGTTTCCTAATAGTGTCAACATAAGGAAGTGGTAATTTTGTGATGGCCTTTTAAAATGTATATCGACTTGCTAGATCAATATTATAGGAAAATAATGATAAACAAAATAATTATCATAAATAAGTAATGTTTCAAGTAAAAATATTTACCTAAATTGGAATAACAGACATAACATCATCCAATTTTCACTGAACCTGTGCCCTTTAAGACTTCTTCACAGAAAGAATTTCTTTTATTATACTCCATTGACTTTCGTTTAAACCAGCACATACTAATGATTGATGAACAGACACATTTGAAATTTTTTTCATACCATTATGTATTTTAGTTTGTGCATTCCTTAATCGTTTGACTTCTTTTTAAGTTCTGACAACTTTTCTTTGTATATCGATATACATTGATTATAGCTGTTGAATACGTTGATTTCTCGGAGAGTAATAACTGCCGATGTGTTGAATATTTTTGGTAAAATACAGTGCAATTTTTTCAATTTTTTTTTACACTATGTCAATTCTATAGGTCAGGTGTAAATTCACAAACTAATATTTAAAAAAATATATTTGTATTTATTTTAAACTGTGTAATGCATATAGAAATTAAATATAAGTGAGGTAGTGATGTTTTACGCAATCTATACGTTTTTCTTTTTTTTATTCAATACTATTACAAGTTATACAGAGTCCTACCGTATTATCCAAATGTTAACAACTCTGGCAATATTAAATTTTTTTTAATATTGTTTTGTGTCAGAGAGACACAAATGTAGAAAAAAAATAACATTTTTATTTTCATCTTTTAATCACTGAAAAAAAAACTTAATTTTTTCACTTTTTACAATTTTGTAAAAAATATTATTATAAAAATTTTGATGTATCACACATTCATATTTGATCAATAGTTTCTTAGTAATTGCTAGAGCGTGAATTTCTAAGTAAAAATATGTTATTAATGGATGTATGCACAACCGCGAGAATAAGATATGAGAACATTTCACAGAAGGTACAAAGAATCTGAATACAAAATTGTACTTTGCATATACATGCATATTTTGATGTCAAGAGAATATATTCATATAAAATCATATTTTTTACGTACTTGACTAATTAAAAATGCATAAATTGAAATATTTCCAGGATTTCAAGAAATTAAAAAATTATGTACATTTTAACCCCTGCGATAAGTTTTTTTCTATTTAATAATAATTTATTATTGGGTATGCCGTATGATAATTTTCAATGACACTATAAGAACTCACATGACTCCTGAAAGTATGAAACAATACATTGTGATAAATTGTTTCAAGGGTGATAAATAAATAATATATGATCCTAATATTCAGGATTATATATTTAATAAGTAAACCATAAGGTTGGTTAATGAAGTTATTATATTATTTTTTATCTGCACTAAAAACTACTACACTGTTGTTAAGGTGATACAATTGATAGGACGAATACTAATTTATTTTAACAGAAGATTGTTATTTCATTTAGCATTTCAAATTTAACATTAAAAATAAAATTACAAAAATATTATACTATTTATTAATTGTTATATAAATAATGCTATTGATTTTTTTTAAACTATTAGTTATTAAAATTGTTTTTCATGTGTGCATATCTAGATTTTAAAAGAATATATTAATATAAAAACATATTTTTACATATTTTACTAATATTTTTAGAGAATATTACAACCATATATTCGAATTTTTAAGAGAATATAAATTTGTAGTTATAGCTGTTTCAATGTACTGTGATTGTGACTATGAAATGCTACTGCGTAACGTGGTAATCTCATTTTTCACACATTTCTTTAAATATTAAAACAATATTTCACAAAAATTATATTTGTGTTACCCTAACACAAGACCTGATTGAAAAAAAAAGAATGAATAATGACAGAGTTATTAGCATTCGGATAACAATGTAGGATACCCTGTATATTTATTGGTGTTTAAATGGCAGCCACTTTATCTTTCATGAATAGAATATTTGAAAATTTCCTTACTACTTGAAACAGGCATTTTTAGTTTAAAGTAAATGTAAAAATAATTACAATTTTGTTTGAATAATATAACAACAATAAATACAGTAAATATATAAATAAAAAAAATGTACATATAAAAATAAAATAAATAAATGAATAAATGTGTCGCCCGGAGTATTATGACAAGTGTATTAGACAACCGGTTTCGAATTTAAAATTCATCATCAGGTATATCAGTCAAAATGTAAAACACGACTGAATATAAAAAATTAAATATAGAAATACATAGAAGAAAAAAAAATTTATACAAATTAGTCGTTTAACATAGAATATAGAAATAATTTATTTTAGTAGAAAAGATTATTTAAAATTAGTTATTATTAGATATATGTTAAGGAATATAAATTATTTGGTTATTATTTATTATCTAAAATGTATTGATATAAGATATTATTTTTAAAATCAGTTTGTACATTTAAAATATTATTAAAATTAGTTTTCTTTATTTCATTGTATAGGTGTAATTCTTTTAAAACTGAATTAATGTAAATATTATTTTGGGTATTCAATGCTTCCAATTCTGTAATAATATCAAAACTTATATTATAGTTATTTTCTAAAACATGTTTAGCAAAATTTGAATTAGGAGCGGTCTTTTTTAATTTTATTTTAGAAATGTGTTGTTTATATCTTATTTTAAAATTTCTATTTGTCTTACCTATATAAAATTTATTACAGTTACATTTAAGTTTATACATACCAACAATTTAAAAAGAAAAGGAAGGTTTTTAATTCTATTGTTTACATGTTTGATTAAATTATTATTAGTCTTAAAAGAAATATTTACATTATTAGTATTATTGTTCAGAATTTTAGCGAATTTGTTAAAAACTTATTATTTTGTTATTACATACTACAATAGTTATTAACATTATTTGATGAGTTCTGTGTTATTTTTTTTTAAATACATTTATGGTTTTTTTTAATAATATTTAAATTGAAATTATTTCTAGGGGCTATATTATGTATTTGTATGTGTTGATAATTATGTTTATTTAATTGAATACGATCAAGCCTATAGAATATTGAATTAAACAATGATACATTCATTTATTTATTTTATTTTTATATATAACTTTTTTATTTATATATTTATTTATGAGTATTAACCATTTTAATAATTTTGTTTTTACTTAATTATTTTACTTTAACAAATATAAATAATTAGTGTAAGTAATAATTAACAATTATTTAAAAAAATAAATATAAATATGATATATACAAACACAGTAATTCAATACTATTTGGTTAGATCATGTACTGCTTAAAAATTAGTCTAATAGATCACTAAGACATCACTACCACAAATGGGACTAAATAAATGTTCAAAAATTGAAAAAAATTGAATTTGTTTATATCTTTTATGTGGCAAAAGTTTTGTACCCGTGACATTTTAGTACTTGTGGCGTTTTTACCGCGACATTTTCATGTGGTTTCTTATTTTTATTTTTTAAATGTTTTGTCTTCATACAACGATACAATCTTCTACACCATTTACATTTTTCACTGAATGGATAAAATTAAGATAATAAAAATTAAAAACAAAAAATTTGCATTATATTATATGTAGGCAATATTGAAAATTTTAAACAAATATACTTACCCTTTTTCGTCAATTATGATTTTGGTACAATTTGCATGTCGAAAACGACCATAAGATTCAACACATTTAATCGAGTCAAAATTACTTTTGAGTAATTGGTACTCATCATTAATAATGTAACCATAGCATACCTTTATTTTATCAAATTCATTTATTAAACTCGATATATCATACAAGTCTTTTAGTTCGTTTATTTTAAACATATTGGCCATATCAAATATTTCTCCACATAAATGATAAAATAAATCAAAATCTAAAAAGTTACAAATCAAATATAAATTAGTTTACACTGTACAATGTATTCACGTTTTTAATTAATACTAAATGTTTGGCTGGATAACATTGGACATAAATTCCATTTTTTGGAAAATTATAGGGAGTCTTTATTAAAGTGCATGAATACAAATACAAATTATTTTAATACTTTTCTTTTATAAATAGTAATATTTATTTATAACACGGCATTCAAATAATCCTACTGCTTTTATGCAATTTTAATCATTACAATTTTTCAATCTCAAAAATTACTCGAAATACAGTTATTTACAGTTGATTTTTCAAAAAAATGTATAACATGAGCATTTAAATTTGAAAAAAATTGACAACTATTTTATGGAGGAAAAATGATTTGTAAAGAGAATCATAAAACATATACACATAACAACTTGAGTTTTAAATTTTTTATCAACTTTAGATGATTGTAATTCAGGTAATTTTTTAGATAAAAAAAATTTAAATGATTAAAGTAGCTTAAAAAATAAGACTATTTTTATACATTAAAAAAAGGTGTTGCTGTTTACAAAAAGTAATTTATATTGCTCATACGCACACTAATAAGTTAAACATTTGAAATTTATCTTAAAATGTGTATTTTAGCAAACCTTTCAAAAATGTAATTTAAACCCAAGGTCATCTGGCCGAAATATCAAGTATTACTGGGAAACGTGAACATACTGTATATATATAATATATTAGGTTTTCCTTAGCTGTAGGTATTGAAAATAAATGTCAAATATTTGAATTCATAGGTTTGGAATTCTGTTAGGTACATTGTAAAAATATGTTTTGTAAATTTTGGATATGATAAGTTAACCACTTCATATACATCAAAGGGGTTGGAGTTTGTAAAAAATGGGTAGTTTTTATAGTATTTTTTTTGAATTTTTAACATGGAAAAATGTATTATTGCAAACAAATTTCTTATATAGTTCATTTCTTTAACATTTCAGTGAAACCTATTGTTTATATGTAAAAAATTGATTTAAAAATTGATAGATTTGAAATTTTACATAAAATAAAAAATACTTTACATAAAACTTTTCTTTTTTATTTAACTTCTGTTTACCTTCAGTAATGACAATTTGTTTTTCAATTGAATGACTGTAATTGATTCCGAATGGACTAAGTTTATAAAATGATACGACTTTTTTTTTCCCATGGTTAAATGTATCTGAACACCATTTAAAAAGAGTACTGATTAATAAATGGTTTTTTAAAATGTCTTCAAATAATGGCATAACTTTGACTGGTCCGGTTTTAGTCTACGTTATAAACATAACACAATTCAGATAAATATAAATCTAATATTAATTATAGAAATCATACAATATTTAATATCTAACTACCTCATCATGGACTTCAACTTCAAAACCTGGTATATCTGGTATAATTTGAATAGACTCACATTTAAGTGGTGTAGAAGATAATATGTTTCCAGTTTTAGTATTGTTATCAAGAAATGAGCAACTTGGTCTAAAATAAGTATGGTCATGTTTCATACCATTGGATGGTGATATTGAAAGGTAACTCTTGCTGGTTACTTTCATTGGTATTGCTCCAGGTTTAAGTTTTGGCCTTTTTAAAGAAATCTGAAAATAGTTTTATCTGACATAAGTTCCAAATTACAATTCGTAATGCATAATATTGGAATTATGATTTAAATGTAAATTAAGTATTATTATTTCAGGTTGTAAAAAAGTATGCATACTCACAGTATACTTAGAAAATCCTGTACCAGATTCCCATATTTTTTTAATGTCTTCGGATTTAAAATGAGTTGCACACACTTTTGAATTATGTTTCAAGTCCATATTCAAGGCTTCTTCCCATTCTTTTTTAAGGTTTTCGGGCACTTTAAATACAGATTCATTCCGTGAATCACACAAATGTACACAGCACCTCGGCATTATGTTAAATACTAATATTTTTAATAGTTAATCAAAATACGTAGAATGTCATGTCATAAGGGAACAATAGGCAAACTCTTTAACATTAATTTTAATATTATAATAAGCAGAGTAAATTAAAACTTAAATTAATTTAACGTACAATTTGTTTTTCCTATCACTCGACTTCGATATCGGTAATTTTTCACTTAAGATAATTATTATCTTGTTATCAATATATTTTTGATAACACGTCTCAACACTCCACGCAACTCTCACGCATGCAATACACAATATAAGTTATTAGTTATTATGTGTAGTGTTATAGTTCGTTTTGGAACAGTAAGCAAAACGATTGTAAACGAGTAAATCCTAACAAAATTTGTTTACAAAAGTGAGCGTTACCATCCTCATTCTATGCATTGGACTATAAAATAATTATAAGATTATCTCATTGGTCAATGATTCAATGACTGTAACTAAAGTGCTTTGATAATGATATAATAATAACAATAATAATATAATCAGTGGTAACATCAAATTACGTGTTCAATATGCATTTATCATTTATCATTTTTGGTTATCAGTTTATCACATTGTATCATATAAAATAACGTAACCATTAAGATATCTTAATTTGTGATCACCCATTTTATATATTATGTGAAGATATATTATTTAATTTTCCAATATTTACTAGTCAATTTTCTACCATAGTAATGTAAGTTTACTGTGTTCGTATTTAAATTTGATTTATTATTACTATCTGTCATTAAGTAATCAACTCTACTATGACTGGTTTTTATTATTTTGTAATCGTTGGACACGGTGATAATCCTATATTTGAAATGGAGTTCATGTCCAGCAAGGAAGTAAAAGTACATACTTATTTAATACATTATGTAAATACATTTATGTAGACACTATTTTGTGTGTATCTACATACACAATTATTTTTTTAAATATCATATTAATGTACTATTATGTACATCAATAAAACATGTATACATACAATAGTTTTTTTTTTATGTAGGTAGGTATCTATTAAGTATATTTCTGAAGGTTTACAATAATACAATATTAATATTTATTTTATACATTTCTAAAAAATCCTAATACTTAATTACTCGCGTTTTAAATATTTGTAGTAGGTATTCATTATTAACTAATTTTATAATGCAGACTAAAACAAGTAATTTAATACTTATTTTTATTAAAAAATTGTATTTTATTCTTACAATTTATTGACAGATTCATTGATAAAGTTGAATTAGTTATTTACGAAAACCATATACCTGTGTCATTCATTACAAAATTATACCTAAAACTTTTAATAATGCTTATTTATTTATAATTTAGTTTGAACAAATTTAAACATTTTATAATTTATACAAAATTAATTCATTTCGTCGTGAATAGTAGTGGTAAATGTTACTGTTAAGTTCTTTGAGTGAATAAATTTTAGTCTGTTGACAAGTCATATCTATAAGTGAACATTTTAGTAAATTTTATTTTAGTGAAAATCTGTTCACAGACAAATAAATATTATTTAAATGGACATTTTTAAATCCATTAAAGGTGGTGAGAAAATAGGCTTTGAAGGATATATTTATATAGCCAAGTTCATGGGAAATGTTCAACAAAAATACTGCAAATTGTAATTGTACTTTAATGTACAGTGTCACTGATGATAAATAATGATAATTGTAAATTACTTATTTAAAGATTTAAAATATTTGTTCTTTTTTCTGGAATTCATACTAGGTGGGTACTCGACCAGATTATTTATTTTTGTAAAGAAATTATCTTGACAAATTATTATTTTAAATTAGATTAGCTACATAATATGTAGATTTTCTGTAATCTATATATATCCAGTAACACAATTTCAGTTATAGTTTTTATTCTTATAGTAATAAATTTAAAATTCAAAAAAATAATGTATTTTTAACTATAATATTATTTACTTATAATTTTTAAATTATAATACTTAGGTTATGATTTTCATCCTAAATAATATGTATAAGATATAAATAAAATAAATTGACATACCTATGAACACACAACTCAAAATTCTAGGTCTAAAAACTTGAAATTATGCACAGTAGTTCAAGGATTATTCGAAATTCAACACTCTAAGGCAGTGTTTGTCAGCATTTTAATAATTGTGAGCCTCTAATTTTTTTTTTTTTAAGGCCCCTCCTAAAATTATGTAATAGAACTTGAATACTACTATAAACAGTTTATATGGCACTTATGGTTTTGTCAAACCTCAACTATCATTCGAGACTCTGATTGAAAACCCGATTTAAAAAGAGCCGTTGAAGTTTATATAAATACAAATTGAAGATGTGTTACCTAATTAACCCAGAGCAAAAACTAAATTATTGGTTACCTTAGTAACATGGATAAAAAAGTATGTTAAATTCAATATTATGTATCCAGTATCCTGTATTTCATTCATATTCTCATTACAAAACTGTACATAGGCAAAGTCTGGTAATACAGCTAAAAATACATGTTTTCAATATTTAATAAATTGTGATTATTTTTATTATAAGATGTGTTAATTTTAATTTATTATTATTATTTTGTAAACTAATGCTGTTTTAAATATTTTTTTAGAAAGAAGATCATAGCCATTTAAATCAGTTTATAGCTCATGCTGCCTTAGATCTAATTGATGAATTAATGTGGAAATCTACTTCTATGTATTTGAAGAGTGTTGATCGCTTTAATCATTGGACAGTATCAGCTTTTGTTACAGCTAGCCGCATGCGATTTATTATGGTACACGATTCTAAAAATGATGAGGGTATCAAAAATTTTTTTACCGAAGTCTATGAAATGTTTATTAAGGTATTTATTATGTACTTAAACAATAATGAAGGTAAAATTCAAATAGTTCATACACAAATAGTTGTTTTGTGTATTTGGTATTCTTTTTTAATTGGGCTTTTGTAATGTGTTAGGTTAGGTTAGGTTAGGGTATCTCTTATATTATATATATAATGAAAGTTTCTCAAAAAAATTGAATCGTTTAACAGTTAAAATCAGGATAACTTCACAATTATTCAACACTAAAAAACCATTAGAATATTCAATCAAAACAGTTTAATTAGGTATACAGTATTGAAAAAAGAGAAACAATTTTTTTCTATTCCTTAAAAAAACGAAATTTTATATTTGTATGTATTTAAACAAATGAATTTAAGCCATTTTAATTCTATACTAATGCATATTATATTTCAGCTAAATACTTAACATTATTTTTATGATTTCAGTATGTAATGAATCCATTTTACAAGTTGAATATGCCAATCAAATGTGGATCGTTTGACAAAAAAGTACAATTCTATGGTCGTAAATATTTAGTCAGTTAATACTAATGTTAGGTATATTATTATTGTGATATTTTTATTATTTTTAAATTTTATTTTGCAAAATAAACCAAATTTCCTTTATCAATTTTTTTAAAAACCATTGTTTATTGTTTAATGCACTTTAAAATAGACCATCTTAATTTAAAGTACTTAACATAATAATATTTAAAAGATAAAAATTATATTACTATTAATACTTCAACAAAATTGAATGAAATAATATTTTAAAGAATATTTATTCAATTGAATAGTAAATACTATGTTTTATTTATTAATAAATACATAAATATTGAATATAGGAACTAAAAATATCTAAACTATAACTTAATACATAATATTATTTGATACAAATGTATATCTATTTTATCAATTAGAAACATCATGAAGATCCATTTTAGTATTGGTAATAACTCCAATGACTCCGTCTATAGATGTTTGAGTTGTAAGGTGCCTGAAACATAATAATTTTGAAATACTACATGATATATATGATATACATGATACTATATTATTTGTATAGTATCTAATCAATTATAATGTCATTAATTATTGTACCTACTTTAAAAGACTTGAAAAATTAAATACGATTAATTAAATAACGACTTGCGGAAATGAAATCAACAAAAATAATCACTTTAACAGTTTTATTGAAAATTGCATGCAATATCTATCACATTCCTATATAAAAAGTTGTTTCTCAATAGCTAAACAATTCTATTGATTTATTTTTATTATTATTATTATTATTATTAAAAATATATAGTTAAACCACTTTATAATAGAATCGTTTGGAACCAACCGATTTTCCTTTATAAATGAGTTTTCGTTACAGAGAGATTAAAATATACGAGAATAGATTATGCAAAACTACTGTTGGTTTTTGTTTTAAAGAGATTTCCGCCTTATAGGGAGTTTTAATGTATATTTTATTTTTATTTTTATGTATTTAATGTATTTATTATTCATATATTTTTAAACTTTTATAATATTTTCCCATTAAAATATATAAGTTATATACATTTTAAAAGTAATATTGCTTATGTTTTTCATGTTAAGTAACTATTAATATTTTTAAATGTTGCATATTATTATATTTTATATGAATAACAGAGTGTATTTAAAATGTAAAATGTAATAGGTACCTAACTAAAACTAATTATTTTACTTTTTATGGTACTCAATATTACAATTTCTATTTTATCTATATATATATATTTATTCATATTTCGGTTTATTGTCTACAATATTATTATTTTCTTATTTCCTGACAGTTGAATTATTTAAAATTAATTTATATTCATATAAATAATATTATTTTGCCTTACTATTTGCTAATAAACTAGAGTTAGGTATTTTACTGAAAGATACAAGAACTAAGTAAGAAGTTAAAATCAAAAATGCTTTGAATTTATATCATTTAGTGTTTAATAAAGTTTAATTTATAAATTTATATTTTTATTACTTGTATACAAAAAGCTTACTTCTTCATAATTGTATATTCCTCGATGAGTTCTCATATTTCTTTTTGTTCTATCAGGAGTGTATAAGTAATTTGGCCAAAATTTTTTACCAATATAGTACTGAAAAAAACAAATGTTTATTTATAATTTGTTTTGGTGTATTAATTTATAATAGTCAATAAATAACTAGTATTTTAATAAATGTATAAACGTACTCCACCACAATTCTGCCGGTAGCGTGTAAAAAAAATTATATAAATTAATAGATATAATGAATACTGTAAGAACTTTAAAAACATTTTATAATATTGCACTTGTGAAAGTATAAAATATATACATACCTACTATTTACTAGGCGCTTACTTATATAAATAAGTATTTTAGTACATTTGGTAATAGGTATAAATCTATAAATTAGTTACACTATTACACACTATACAGGTAAACGGACACTTTATGCTATCTATTATTTGAGTTTCATATCGCGGACACTTTGTATGGTAAAAATCGATTGAGGACACTTTATACCATAGAAATAATCTGAGAAAGGCGTGAAATATATTTTAGGAGATAAGATAAAATTAAATTCCTCCAAACTTTAGATTGCTTTAGATCAGTATGAGTTTGGTAACCCAATAGAACATAATCAGATTGAATACATTATGAACCAAACTACTAGATTTTCCATGTGTGTTGGAATGTCATAATATAATTAATTCAATAATATAAATATAATTCATTAAATAATTATGGAATAAATATTAAATAAATTCTTTACGAACTATACTTATATGTGAGTAAAACAAATGAGTATGAAACACTTAGGTATTCGACTATAATGCAATGAAAAATCATAAAATACAGAAACATGCAGTACACATCAAAATATGCAAAATAAAACTTTGTATTTCGGATCTATTGACCATAATTCAAACTTGTAGCTTATCGAACTACTTTTTGAACTGTTAAAAGAAAACATGCAAATGCATATAAACCTGGGTCCTACTTATAACTTATAATCCTCTGCCCTGGTCATAAAAATATCCTTCTAGTTAATTAAAAGTGAACTAAAGATATTCATTATAAATTATAAGTTTCTATCAATGTCATTTCAAGCTTTTTTAGAAAGATTTCGGTCCATTTAAATTGTTTTAAATATCCATGTAAGTTTTCGTACTGGTGAATAGAACGCGTTAATTGTTTTTCGGACAGATCGTGATCTAGTTCGAGAACAAATTGCAATTTTAGAAATATAGGTAGGTAACTATTTTTGTGAGTTTTTTTTTTATTTAATTACTATACAATAGCATTTTCATAGTATACATTTGAATATTGTATTATTTGTACATGAATGTTTATTATTAATAAGTACCTATTAGCTAATTAATAATTATAAAATTTCTCATGGAAGTCGATCGTTTAACGAAAAACGTATTCTTAGTATAGATCTATACCGAAAAAAATTTGGCCGCTGTCGCTATACACCTTAAAATATATTCGAGTCATAAACATTAACGAAATTATGTAAAATATATGATATGGCATGGGTAAGTATACCTAGGTGTTAATTTTAATGAGCTCTAAGCGTAATGTATCATGATACTCCAGCGATAGTTAATGTCACCTACCTAGGTACTCGATAAAAATAATTTATCAATTTTATTATAATAGTATGTTTAATTAAAAGTATTAATGAACCTTTCAAGTGCCTGGGTGAGGGTAGGTATAAGTACTTACTTATATTTTCATCGACATAACCGTGTAAACAGAACGCAGTTTTTTATCCGTTAGGTATTTGAAAACTTTTACTACGAAACCAATAAATTATAAATAAGTACGCCCATAAAATATAAATGTACCTATCGTATTCGTGAATTAATTAACTCTTTGTTCCGCGATTATTTCTTGTAAAAAGAAAAACTGATTTTGAATAGGTAACATAAATGTGAATATTTTTACAACAAAACTAATAATACGGATGCAATCAAGTTCGCTCTACAATAATTAATTAAACATTAATACAGGTACGTATAACACTCACTACGGGATATTAGTATTATTATTATTATTATGGGTAATTAATTCATTTTTACGAACAGTACGATATAGGTTTATAAAATATAGCGGCCACTCTAGAAATTCTACTGAATTACCGTTTGGAAATTTGGCACATTATTATGGTACATTTTTTTTATAAAAAAAAAATTTCGCCACCGCCAATCGTTTTGGAAAACAAAATCGAAACACGAAATTTTAGAAAACTGATTATAAATTGGTTTTCTTTTCACTTTTATATTTATGGTGACCAGATATGAAAATCCAAAAAAAGTACATTTTAAAATATAGATGCTCTATTGTAAAAACAACCTAAACATTTATAATTTTCAAAAAAAAAAAATAAATAAATTTCATATACTTAACACTATTGTTAAGTACATACATCAAAAATGAGTATTGTCCTATGAAAAATAGTACACCATACTTATAATGCAATAAACCACCGTACATCGTACCGAGGTATTCGTATTTCTACATTGTATTTTTGTGCCAGGACCCAGGTCACTATAAATAGGTATAGACAATATATATTATAAAATGTATAGTAGGTAGACTACTTAACTAACAAGGTGCTTCAAAAAAACCTGATTTTACGCTTGTCATTATAGTTTCACACCGGTAAGCATTTGTTAAATATTTTTCCACCGAAAATATTTTTACGCGTAATATCCAAACACAATGGGTAAAATATTATTATGATTGTACGAGAAATAATTAATGTTTGAATATGTCAGTAAAGGTATTGTAAAACTCCCACTGTGAAATCCATAAACATAAATTATTTATTCGCCTATTGAATTATCTATGTAGGTATATTGATCTTGATAAAAATATCATAATTCGTTTTTTAGTAATAACAAACAATTTATTTACATTGTAAAAATAACCCGCTGAATCATTACAACATTATTAACATAGGCAGCCTATCTACAATTATATCAGTAATCGCTAAAAATTATAGCTGAATTATATTATTAGTATTATAGTGGCGTAATAGGTAACTATCTACCTACCTATTTACCTAATGGGTAAATTGCCCACATGGGTAATTGGTTGAAAAACGTCTGTTTACCTAATTTAAGCCATAGCTGCTCTTTATGTGTTTTTTTGTTCAAATTATTAAACAGGTAGGTAAGCGCATATTATGATATAGTGTAGGTTGTAGCCTTAGTAGATATAAATGTAATTGCATAATATCATAAGTAAATATGGTACTCACTCTAACGTCCATGGTACACATCTGAAAACATAAAAAATACAGTTAGTCAACGATTATTGTAATATTACTGCATCCGTAAGCCTATTGGCTATAGTTCGAATACATTTTACATAGTAAGTATTATATTTTTAACCCTATAGTTTCGACGTTTCAATACTAAACAAAATGTATTTTTACGAAATATGTATTTATTTATTTATTCGGGCGTTGACCCAATTCAAGTGTGTAATTACATGTATAAAAAGTTGTACAAGTTATTAGTTTTTTATGTTACAATAATTATAATGTTTATCCTATAAATAAGAGACAAAATTATCCATACTAAAAAAAAAAAAAACAGCCTGTCTCGTGCAGCGTTTAATTGCCTCGTTGCTAAAATAGTCCGTAGACAGAAATAAATGAAGAAAGGAGTAACATTTCGGGTAAAACGCATGGGGACTCTAAAATGAATGCATTGCAAGAGGGAGGGAGGATCAGTTTTACCACTAAGAAGATTGCCAAGGATGGTCATAATATCATGGGAAATTCTATGATGGGCTAAAGACAAAATTAAGCTTGTGGAGCACAGGGTCGTAGTCCTGCGAAGGATAATGTATTTAAGCTTGGAACTCACAAAACTAAGACATTTTAGAAACTATGAAAATACAATGATAATTACAGCCTTTCTTCCTCAATTTTACATACATGTTTCGTATAATCATATAAGTTTAAGTAGAGAGAAAAATTCTAGGTTCATTCTGATACATTGTAGGTATCAAAACTATTGTATGTGTTGTACACACTTATAAAATCAACATATAATATAGAAGTAAACGGAAAAAATGTTTATTGTGTAAGTTAAGAAACAGTAAATATGTACTACCTATTTAAATACAGTTAAAAGTAAAAGTGCAGTAAAAATAAGTAAAAGTGCACGCGGTTTAAAATTGAGGAGGTACTTACCCTCTAAAATTTGACAAAACATCCATGCATAAATGATTATTGAAACAAAATAAAACAAATTATCAATTAATCATATGTACTTGTATTATATATTATATTTATATAATAAGTTCAATTAATAAGTATATTATATCAGTATACAATAATATAGGCCATAAGGTACAAAATACAAAATAGTTACCTATTAGGAATACAAAATTACAAAAAAGTTAGTGTAATGTGGCCGAGTCCAAAATTTTATTTCGCAATACGGTTTGCATCAGCCGAATTATTAGCTTTTAAATTTCAGCATTAGCATTAGCATTAGCATCAGCATTTAAGTCCTCGAGAATATGACTTAACTAGAATAATCGCGTGCTCATTATATTATATACCTATTAATGGCAGATGGCTACGGAAATTAATTGATTTTTGGAGGTTATGTTGGAGGGCCAATCGTTTCTTTCGGCGATTTACTTTTCCCATCATTATACCTATTCACATTATTCCTATTCCGTTCGTATTATTGAACACCTTTAACTGACCAATTATTATAGGACAACGATTTATGCGTACCCATATATAACAATATAATATTAACATATAATCAGTGATTACATGTGTGATTATTAATATCGATTAGATTAGTGATTACTAATCAGTAATCACTATAACAACCATCCGACTTTCTCTTCACTTTTGATGTGTTATACTTATAATCTATATCGTATTTTTGGCAATTATCTGGTTTTAAATAATACAATTTCAAGTTAAATACGGGATTATGTGCCTACAGCTATCTAATTATTAATAATATATTTAATAATTATTAGGTAGGTAACACTTAGATCCTAGGGGTTGCTGTAAATTGCGTCTCATTTTAAATTTTGTGTGTAAATTACGGCCCGGGTGTATTTCATACATACGTAAACTGCGTCCTGGGTATATTTTATGCATATGTAAATTGCGGCCGTGCAGGCACGTATACAGGGGGGGAGGGTTTGGGGTTCAAACCCCTTCCGATTCGACACACGGACCTACATCAGCCGTATTCTAAATTTAATGCAAATAAAAATACTGTTATGAGTAGGCCTAGGTTGTAACACAATATAATATAATACGCATATGTAATTTTTGGTTTTGGCCGTCGCCAGAATCCGGCGACAACAATAAAATATAGAAAGCAGCGACTATGAATAACGGGTTGCGGGGACACGGCATTACCATATATAACGCCGTCCAAAATATCGTCTAATCAGACGAGTCCACCACGATCGAATGCGAGCAATTCGCGTCACTCTATTCATTATTATTTGGACTTGTAATATTTTTTTGCGGGAAATATTGATTATTTATGTAACTCAAATATGGAGTTTAATTTATTTCATCGTTTTTCCTCTAAGTATTCGTCTTTACGTTGGGCCCGTTACTGTAACCCAAAAATCAATAAAAATAAAACCAATATATCGACGTTTGTTGACAGTTTTTTTAAATTGTATAGAAAAACTGTTAGAATTCTAGACATTTTTTTTTCAAATAAAGTATTATAGTATCGGCATCTTTTAGGTACCTAGGATACAAATAATTTGGAGCATTTTTACTAACCAAAAAAGTGGAGGAAAAAACACACACATTTTAGTAAAACCAATAGCTTCATCACTGCGCTCAAAATCTAAAAGTAAGTTGGTAATTTACTTTTTTGTACTAATTTAATTTCTTTACATCCATAACTTATTAAAACCGACGTAGGTATAAAGTATATTGTTTAAATGTAGATACTTGAAAAAGTTGTACATATTTTTTTAATTAAAGATAAATATTTAAAAATTAAATTATGTATAGATGTATACTTTATTTATTTCTAGTGCCGGATATAAGCGTTCCGGCCTAATTGCGTCGGAACCCGGAAGCAAGGTAAACAAAAAATGTCAACCTAATATATTTTTAACAACTACCCCTTTCCTAAAAGTTAAAACCGATGTACAGCTTTTAAGATTTTTTGCATTTAGGTAAAAACAATATAAATATTCTAATAATTAAATTAAGAAAAGTTTTTACTTAACTAATTATTATATTGTGATGTTTAGAATTATATTTAAAAATATTAGCTAATGAAAATCAACTTATTTCACTATAATAATTTTAACTTAATAATATATCTAATAAAACTTGTGAACAAACCATATCAGCCAATTTTTTCCTTTACATTTTTTATCAATTAGTATGAAGTTTAAAATATTCAAAATATTAGTTTTTAATAAGTTCGTCCATATTTTATAGATAACTATTGAAGACCAGAGTAACAACAGAGTATTTAAAACTATCTGTAGCTGGCTACAAAAATTGACGTTTTATGAACATACAAAATATATTCTATACATTTATTTAAATTCGGTACATAATGATAAATTTGTTTAAATTTAGATAAACGAACACATCATATTTGAAAATAAAATGTAATAAACGCTATAATTGTGTACAGTAATTACCCATATAAAGTGGCGCAATTAGGGCGGGAATTCGGGGACTTTTTATAGGTTTATACAAATTTTGTACGATTAACTGTAAAGCAGGACAAAGGTCAAAGTGTTAGGATGGCCTCAGAGGCGCAATAAGAGGAGGGACAAAGTGGTCCTAACCGACAAGTATCGTTTGAAGCCCCTCAATGCAGAGGCCCGTCAACCAAATATATTTAATATTATAGTGGGGCTCAGGCTTCTCTCCCCATGGTTTATGAGCTAAATGTGTTACTTTCAATAATATAATATATAGTAAATTATACTTCGATAAGAAAATTTGTTCAATTCACTACTATCAAATTACACATTAGAATCACTTTATAATGCCCAAAATCCCAAATTATGTTTTTATCTGTTATTTATATAATGCTGATGATAACAAAAAAAGTAATAATTAAATACTAAAATTCCCTATGCACTTCACGATGACACCGCGGAAACACGCCGTATCCCGTTTCACTTCTCCTTTAAGTGCATATCTATAGATTGTTTTGGATACTATATAATATATTATCCACGTCTATTCCTATGTGAAAACTGTCGAAAATATATTATATTATAGTTTACGGAATATTTACATATTTTAAAATCCAATTACCCAGGAGAAATATAAAAATACTTTTTTTTTATTATGGTAATATACCTATACCTGGCTACTACATGTCTGCACTATAGACATAATATATACTTATTGCCAAATCTAGAGATGAACTTATGTCATAAAATATGTAGGTCAATGAAAACGAGCTCGCTCCATTATTTTATATATTATACTTCTTTATTAAAAAAAAAAAGAAAAAGAAAAAAGCAGGTATTTCTAAATTAATAAAATATAACAACAGGAAAGGATAAATGTAGCCTACTTCCACTGTATAAATGGACGAGTTTATGGTGATATTATATTAAATATTATACACTGTAATAATATCGTTTCAGTAACTTACTCTGCCTCCGAGGTTAGACTGTAAAAAAATTATCAAAAATATTTTTATATTATTAATAATTATATTAGGTAAACATTGTAAACTTATTTATATAAATATTAAAATAACTACAATTGCCGAATATAATTAAAATTACAGTCGTAGCTTTATTTCGCGTGAAAAATTACGATACATTATATGGGTCGTCCGCTGTATAGCCGGGCAGTGGTGCCTATACTTACATTTAGTATAAAAGAATGAACAAAAGTACACAAATATAAAATTAGTGAAATAATATAAAGGAATTCTTTGTCGTTTTTTTTTTTTTTTTTATAATTATAATTCTTATCATTTGTTTTACACAGAAATTAAAAAAAAAAAAAAAAAAAAAAAAACGATGTTATTATTATACAAAAAATTACGTTTAAATGTGTTGTCAACAAACAATTATTACAAGATAGGCCACCGTTTTTTTTCTTTTTATACCGCAAACAATGGTAAAGAAAAATTATTCGAAATACAGGTGTGCACGTGCGTCACCTACCTACACCCTCTTAAACTTCAGAGTTGAATTATTAATCGCGAATATTATTTTAAATTGCCGAAATATTAATATTGTTGTAATATACGTTTGTAACTTCCAAAAAACTTCTCATCATAACTGTAGTAATTACATAGTAAATCTTTTCTATTCGCCAATATTTAAACACGATGGTAACACGAAAAATCCATTTTTTACGGTCTAAAAAAAATTGTACCTATACTATACTATCTTAAATTGAGTATAAGTATTTAAATTTTATCACAATAAAATGTATTATATTATGAAATTCTAATAAATACTATAACTTACAAGGTAACTACAGCGGATAATAACTAATTAAATACCATATGATAATCATACTATTTTAATATACACTATAACTTACTGCTCGTTTCATGAATTCTGCCTGAATACGTAGATTATTTCTGAACGTTATATCTAAAACAAATAAAATAAAATGTATATTCCAATTTGTTAATAACTGTTGTTAAATAGGTATTTATTGTTATTGTGCGTGATAGCTATTTGGCGCCTCGGGACAAAATATTGCAAGCGCTCCTTTTTCGTATCTTCAATAAATTTTTTCTTCTCGTGTCCCGTCAATTCCGGTGGCGGTTAGCAAAATGTCTTAGTTAGGATTTATGCAGGGGGTGCCATATGCAGGTTCTTATCATGCCCCCTCGCAAAACGGCCGCAAATATTGGTATCATATTATAGTACAATAACAGCACAGTGAAGAATTTATTAATTTTACTATAATGTGTGCTTTATTGAATTTTTTATTATCTTCACATTTTTATTTAACAATTGGGGAAACCCAGAAATAAAAGTATAGAAAAACGGAAAAATGTACAGCGATAATTTATTTTTTTTTCGATTTTGTTGTAATTTGGTTAAAAATAACCGTAGAAATCTAAAATGTCCACAGAATAGGTACTTCCTTTTAAAAACGTGACATCTGAAATTGTCAAGGATTTTTTTAGTTTAGTTTTTTTTTTGTGGATAAAATTGTTTTGGCTTTAGTAGAAATGCTTGAAAATCAAGTATAGCGTAATGTTAAATATCATTTTTTAAATTTTTTTACAAGGATTTTAAGTTCAAATTTGTAATCGTAAACATCATGAAACTTTAAAACCGCATGTCTATAACCAAACTTTGCTCAGAATCGTTTTCGATTCTGTATGTTTTTACATGGGTTTATTTGAAAATAAAAATACTTAAGTCTAAAAGATTCAGATGAATGTTATTAATGGTACCTGACCTAAGACAATTAGAAAATTACTAAAGTTAAAAATGAGTGTACACACTACACATTGTAATAAAATGTTTGGTAAACTAAATTTTTATTTGAATTTGATGAGGGGTGAGGTAATGAAGCAGAGCTCTCAATTTTATTTCGTAATATTATCTAGTGAAAATTCCTTAAAATATCTTCTGAGAGAGTGTCTTCTCTCCATCTTCATCCTTTCATTAAGGTGGAATTATGTAAGTTAAACCCACAAGTCGTAAAAAGAAACCTAGTCAATATAATGAAACTGTAAGGAAATAATAATCTCCTTATATCCAACCACAAATATTGGTATCACAGTTCATAAACGTTATATTATCAATAAATTAAATAGATACTGTAAGTATCATATTAATCTACGAATAGATTGTGAATAGAATTTAGAAAAGTGCATTGCTGCCAATTGCCATAATATAGGTATCGATAATTATGTAAAATTTGTAATTTTTTTTTTTATCAAATTATTATAATTATTATCAATAGTTATTATTTAGGCACCCGGGTCAAATTTACCTGATGCCCCCCTCTTTTTAACATGGCTCTGATTGTAACTACATAGGTGTAATAATATAGTGCCTGGTATTTTATTACAAATGCAATAATATCGTAAGTTTACAAATATCTCTTAATAGTTTTCTTTACACGGATTATAACATACATTTTAATAAATAAAATAGTGGCCGGATTTTTTCAAATATACAAAAACCTTATGTTGCATTAACCATGAGGACAATGAAATAATAATACTAACATAAACGTTTTTAACACAATAACAAAATATAGAAGTCATTTAAAAATTATAATTTTATATTCAGCCCCGAGCCCTAATAAATATTAGGTGGGCACAGGATAGGCACCTTTATTTCAGAACAGCTCTTAAAGTATAAACAAATTTTAATTTATGTACAATAAAACAACCAGGTGAAATATAAAAATTAAATTCACCTAAATGAAATATTGTTTGAAGGTACGAGATAATTTTAAACAAATATTATCGCGTTACAATAACAGACAACAGTATGCGGAAATGCGTTTACAGAAACAAACAAAAAAACCACTAACAAACATATTATAAAACCATAATGCATTAAAATAAATTAAAATAATTATATTTTTGGTTAAAATTTAATTTAAGTTTAAAAATTTGNAATAACAGACAACAGTATGCGGAAATGCGTATACAGAAACAAACAAAAAAACCACTAACAAACATATTATAAAACCATAATGCATTGAAATAAATTAAAATAATTATATTTTTGGTTAAAATTTAATTTAAGTTTAAAAATTTGTAAATATATAAATATTATAATTTAAATGGTACTTATATGTAATATAAATAATATTATATAATTCTTGGTAGTTTGTTATTGGTGCATAATCGTGGTTAAATATTATTTGTATAGTATTTATAAATACATCAAAAATTAAATATTCTAACATTTAATCAAATAATAAGTTGGAATTAACCTATGTATTATAATTTGTATGTTCTAAATAGCTATAAGTTTATTTCATTTTTTTTATTTTTATATATTTTTTTAATCGAATTCTCCCAAAAAATGGAGGCTATTGTAATATTGCAGTCTATTGTGTACTTATTTAAGTATCTTACATAGTTGTTTCCATTACTTTTTTACTTTTCTAACGGCTTTCATTTAGACTAAATGAGCTCAAATTTAGAAATTACAGTTGGATTAAATTATTTCAAATGAATTTTAACAAGTTTCTGTGGTAGGAGATACAATTTTGTATTTACATGGTGTTTTAATATCAAACGACACATCTGTCTTTCGGGAGTTTAAACCTTCAACTCCTACCCCTATCATTTTTATGCTCATATTTTACCATTTTAGATTCTGAGTGTAGCGAAGAATGTATTGGTTTCAAAGATTTTTTTTTTTATGTGAACACTTTTTCTACCAGAAAGCTTACTCAAATGTTACGATGTGAATCTTTTTTTGAAAGGAAATTGGTATGAGAAGATACTTTAAGAAGATCATTTTTTGATTTTCTCAAGAGTATTTTCATCAAAAGCGAAAAATCGAAAAAAAAACGGAAAATATAAAATTTCTAAAACATTACGATTTTTTTTTCTGAAGACAACTTTTCTATCAGCAATTTTGCTCCAACTTTTAGATATCAATTTTTCTAAAAAGAAATTTCACTGGGAAGGGGTGTATATATATCTAATTTGCCAATATTAAATTAGTGAGAGTAGCATAGGTAATATGTAGGTTGTTGGCTCAATTTTCTGTGAACCAAAATTGTATACAACAAAATAGTTATGCGAATATATAATGCCTCTGAGCGTAAAATTTCCAAATACAGCCCTAAGGGTACAAGCAAGCAATGTGTTATTTTAGGGCAGCATACAATTTTAATCAAATTGAAATGACAAAATGAAATTAATAATGGTTAAAAAAGACCGGCATCAAAATGTTCGTTTTAGGGTGGAAAATATCTTACGACGGGTCTGTTCACCACTGTATAGAATTAATTAATTAAATTTATTTAATTATGATTATGCATTTAAGATTAAGATAACATATTTGAATAAATATTCCAAATAATGTTAAAACTTTTCCTACATGTTTTAAATCTATACCAACGTTTTATTAACGCTCTAACATATTCTATAATTCGAGCCCGGAACCTGCAATCAAACTACGTTCTCCGATTGGACGATTTGAATTGCCGTGCATAAATATATTTTGTAAAATTTAAATGTTCGGCTCGTTACTGTTTTATCGTCTTCCGCTGAATACTTAACGATAATAGAAGTAATTTTTAGCAATGAAAATATCAGCTATCTCATTTCGGCCGATCAGTTTCTTGTAGTTTCGATTCTCCTAAATTTATCGGCTCTAGTCTCTATTAAATTTCCATGTCGCTAATTTTCTTTGTAATCTTTTAACAGTTTTAACTTCAGATATTAGTTTCAACGTAAATAATATTAAGTTTTGGTTTCTGGTCAACATTAATACCACATTTAGTGGCATATTTACGTTTAGTCCAGGGATACTAGAACACCCTCCCCCAGACATACTTCACACGTGGGTAGACCATTATTGTAGGTGAAAAGTTAGAAAAGTTATAGAGAGGAAATTTAATGTATATCTGTACGCAGCGATTAACCACTGCTAAAGAAAAAACGATTCTGAGCGGGATTCGGTTAATAGTGTGGTTTTGTCAACAATATATATGTCATATTATGGTGAAATAATTACATATTATGCATTGTATATTTTCTTTAATAATATTTGTTTAATATTGTACCTATTTTCTCATTTTTTCCATTTATTATTATAAAAATAGTTGGGAAAATCAAAAAATGATCTCATTAAAGTATTACTCCAATTAGATTTCTTTTTTAAAAAAAGTGCTATTATTGCAAATTGGAGTAAAATTGCTAGTAGAAAAGTTGGATACAAAAAAAAAAAATAATAAAAAAAAAAAAAACATTATTGTAAAACCAAATTCCTCGCTCCACTAAGAATCTAAAAAAAATGTGTTAATGCTTATTGTTGTATTGTTAACCAAAAAGAAGGAATTCTGATTATCTGTGTAAAGAGAAAGTTGAACATTTTCAACGTCTTCCAAAAAACGTTTAATTACGAAAGTATTATAAATTCTGGAGCCTTCCATCTCCAAAAACACGTCACTGGATACATTAGTACCTACCAGTTGGTATAATAAGCCGATATTACGATAAGCGATACTTTAGATTTCCTTGTTACTTAACGCTGGATAGTAGATTGTTTACGTTTTCTTTAAAAGCGGAGTAGATAATTTATCCCCTAATTTCGCGTCCATTATTCGTTCATCAATCCTACAATGTTTGTAATCATGAACTATGTTCTTCCCTATTTCGGGATACTTAATCATTAAATTCTACTACCGTCATCACTAGGGTCGTAATATTTATCAACATCATACCTTATTGATATCCCTTAATAATATTTGTCGTATTGTTCACGATATAGTTCTCTTCGTAAACACGATACTTCATATTTTCCTTTTCTTCCCCATTGGTGTCCTACTCTTTTACATAAACTTCTATTTATCTATATTATTTTTATTTTTTACTAGTACCTACTATTGCTTTCAGTGTTCATAAAATCCAAACATTCATCAAGTTCCAGTACAACTAATGGCGCCGAACATATATATTAAGTATGGCGGCCGCCACTCACACATTTAATGATGGGTATACTCTCTAGAATTGGTAGTTACTAGTTAAGTTAAAACATATTACATTTTACAATAAATATAAAGAGTAGTAGACATAATATTTTAAATAACGCAAACTAGTCTATTCCTACACTGCTCTAGAGCGTGTATAGTGTGACTGCATTAGTAAAAGCAGAGAACTATTAGTTTATCTATAACTATTTAATTAATAGTCTATGATAAATAACTAATTGTACCTAATAAATGTTTGAATCCACAAAGCGGCTATAGCTAAAACACATAATAAATAAATGTAAGTAAAAGAGCTGACATTAGGAACGAGTGTGGCCTTTGTTTTAGATGGGTACTTGGGAAAGAAGGGTATATAAAGTCATTTAATTTATACCTGTAGCCAACTATAAATCATTGTTAACGAGAAACGATTCGGAAAGAAGTTCGATTAAACATGATTTGAAAGGCTGTAATGTTTACAATTTTTGTCAAAATATGATTTTAAAACTCTTATGAAAAAAAAAAATACTACACTACACTAAATTTATTTTTTAGCCACTAAGTATGACTTGCAATTGAATTCTTGTCAAATTTTCAAACATTTCTGTCTATCATAGTCATGTCATAGTCTAACAATTTCAACCAAAGAGTACTCCAAATAAATATTACGTAAAAAACTCACAATATTATAATGTTTGTAAATAATTCAAAAATGGCTTAAATATTTTGAATATTTTTACTACTTCTAGGAAAGGTAAATATCAGTTCTCTGTCTAAATTTTAAGTCTCTGGGAATATTTTTAATTGAATCCCAAAAATCTAAATTGAAAATAATAAAAGCATTATTTTCAAAAATTTTCCATTCTTTCAACGTTTTTTTTTCCCGGTTTTGTTTAATTATTAAATTGTTGTTTTTCAATTGGAGGAATTTTTATGAATGTTTATGGTAGAAAATATTGTGTATATATATAAATTTAAAAGAATGAAATCGGTAACTCTGCGGCCGTGGCGCAAGAAGTAAAGATTTGCCGTTTTACCTATAATTTGCTTACAAATTTTTCCCAACTATTTTGAGAACCCCCGAAAAAATCAAAATTTGATGTCTAACTAGACAAAATTATCTTTCAGAAAAAGTATTACGATATATAAAGATACATCGGAGTAAGATTTTTAGTTGAAAAGTTGTTTATAGACACAAAGAAAAAAAAAATAATCATACAAAACCACACATCATAGTAAAACCAATAGATCTGTGGCTATGCTCAAAATCTAATACAAATATCACTGTAAAACCAATATATTCCTGTCTATGTCAAATTTCAATATCGGTTTCTAATGTTCATATAAATAATGTTGATGCTAACAAAAAAATTTAAGTACCTATTTATGCATTAAAATATTAAATAATGCAAAAATATAAATATTATTCAGTAAATAATATAATTTGAGAAAATAATATTTTATAGTTTAAGATATTGGTAGTTGATGTGGGGGGTTATGACACCCATGGCTTAAGTTTAATACCGTATAGAGGTAGGTGGGTGTAAAATAAATTTATGTTTATTGCCGCACATACAAAATATTAGTTCGGCGCCACTGAGTACAACTCTTATTTATTCCATAAAAATGTTAAAAATTGCTGTCAGTTGGTTTTTATTTTAATTAACTATTTTATGAAACAGATATCCGAGTATAATTCGATCGTTCTTGTGAGAACAGAAGCGTAATTTTTTATTTCAAATAAATTCTCACCCTCAACAATTTGTTTCACAAAAACTACCTAATTTTATATGAATTTGTGAACACAATATTCAGTAATTTTGAATTGTTGATATCAACCAAATGCATGTTTTCGACACACATATATATATAGCTATACATACTACAGCTCGAGAAGCTATAGTTTCTAACCAATTTTTTACGGCAGTGAAATACTATAAATTCATAAATTTAAATTTAGAAATTTGTTTGAGAGATTTGGACGCAAAAGGTATTTTTAAATGTTTAGTCCAATCTCCTGAAAAATAAAATAAAAAAATGTTACAAACACTTCATAGTGAGATGAAATTAAAGTAATATTCATATATTTATTCTTAACGCTAATCAGAATTTTTATTTTTCAATTTGACAGTTTTTCATTTTACCTTGTTTTTTATTTGAATAATCATATTAAAAATTAATAATAGCTATAGGTAGGTTATGATATATTACACATTTCCCGTCTGATATATCACATAAATATAACTATTATAAGTGAGTATATTAAAATATTGAAAATTATAGGCATTATTTTTATCAAAAAATGTGTAGAATACATTCTCTACAATCTAATATTGATAAAAGACATGTTTTCTTTGCAAGTTTGTTATGAAACAAAGAATATATACTCGTAATTTACAAGTATTATCATATAAATTGCATAACTATTAAATAGGTACTTTAATCAAAAAGTAATAGTATTATTTTTATATTATATTATTATATTACAAGCGATGCCAATACACCAAAATCAAGGATTGATGTCACATTATAGTCATGTACCTACTCGTGCGTCATAAATGTAACGATTCTATGTAAATAATAGAAATTAATCAAACAAATATATTAAAAATCATTGACTCTATATATTAAAGAAGTTTTATAAAATGTATGGTTATTACACTTATTTCATAGGGTGTAATACGCAACCTACCTACAGTTTCTACAATCGATAAATATTAAAAATTAAAATTAAAATTACCTACCTATGAAACATTTGAAATTATTTAAGTTTTCTCATAATTAATATGTTAACAATGTTAAAACAGTAATTAAAAAAAAGGGTCTAATATTTGAACGTAAAATTAATATTTTCAAGTTAAAATCAACAAATAAACTCAAAAAGTTCTGTAAGTCCTCGATTTATTATCAATTAATTTACCTACGCTAGTGGCCAGGTATTATAATAAATTAAGTAAAAAAAAAGGGAACAATTTACGAATAAAGTATTCTTGTAGATTTCTATAAACTTGATTTACGAGTAGATACTGCAGTTAATGTTAAAAGATAATTTTCCTTTTTGTACTATATTATATTATTTAATTCAAAACCCGGCTGAACAACAAGATATTCGACAAATCGAAAAAATAAATCATCAACAAAAAATATCACCACAGTCAACAATGGTGTTTCTGGTAACCAAAGCAACGAATTTCACAAACGGACATAATGAACGGTCATACACTATTACAATGTAAGGTATTCTATAGGAAATATACTTTGGAAAGTTGAAAAACTATTCTTTAAAGTTGAAACTATACTATTATGTAAAAACAAAAGTAAGACAATATAACAGTTATAGTTAAAAGGAAATTAAAAATAATAATAATAATAATCTTCTGGGACAAAATGTGATTATTTTAATTCACAGCAACACCAATAATTTAACTATTTTAAATTTAATTATTTAACTTCAAGTACAAGTACTTACTCTAGAATATTGGGTAACGGTGTAAACCCATACTATTATTCGTTTACTAAACATACACTTATTGAACGAGTATTGCCTGTATACATTTACCCATTTATACATTTAGATTTAGACACGCTATAATAGCGCGATTTTGTCGGGATGGTTTGCAATTTTCTTGTCTCGGACAAACATTACGATGAAAAATCGACTTATCTATTTTATATCGTACATTTTCGTTTACATAAATTTTAGATTCTGAACAAAACGATAGAAATTAATTGCAGGTTTTACTTATGCAATACATGTTTGTTACTGTAATAGTGCTCTACTATCATGTAAGGAAAACTCTAAATAAGGTATTTTTTTTTTTTCATCTTCGTGATATTTTCGACACTATCAACCGAACTCCGCTCGAAATCGTTTTTTTGTTAGCAATAATTAATCTTTCCGTACATCTGGTATATATTAAATTTCTCCTCTACTACCTTCCTAACTTCTATAGCAGTGGCTGCACCCGTCCCCATTATCTTAAGACAGTTTTTTTACGTTATATTTAGACACTTTTAGCGGCTCTCTCTGGACTAAATGCGCTCGAACTCGAGAGTTTAAGTATTTTTATAGGCTGATTTAAACGATGGAATTTTAATTGAATTTCAATATGAACTTAACTGTACTGTTCCGGAAATAAGGTGTTTTTTGCTTTTTACACTTCTAAAGACCCTTCAAATGAAGCCAAGAGATGCAATTTTGTGTATACATGGTGTAATTTCAATGATGTGTCTTTTGATGGTTTTTTTTTAACCTCCATCCCCATTTATTTTTATTCTCAGATTTCATGTTTTCCACAGGAACTAGCGCGTTTTAAATATCTTTACAGACCCATAAAAGTAAGTAACTTGGTTAAAATATATATATATATATATATATATATATATATTAAAATAAATTTTGTCGAGAATATGCCATTAGAGGGTTTAAACTTCCTACTCTCGACTCCATCGGTTGGTTTGTATGTTAGTAAACATCTCGAGAACTATAATAATACTCATATTATTACCTATTTTGATAAAACTTTTTTTTTTAATTTCTTAATCCTTATTATTGTTATATATGTATAAAAATATGAACTATTATAAAGGCAACAAATCAACTGTCGGAAAATTTTGTCTTCATGATAAACACTTAGATCACAAGTTAACAAAAATCAATCATCTGATCGAGTCTAATGAGTTTATTCCATATTATTTTTTTGTTAGCGGTTTTGTGTTTATACTGCTATCGATATTTGTATATTACCAATCGGATTTTTTAGTCCGTTATTAGAGATAAACAATTTGCATTATTGTTAATTCTTTAAGTAACACAATATTGATGTGAATAAAAACAGACATTCATCCTAAATCATAGACATTTATTTTGGTTCCCTAAAGTTTCATTTTTGCCCAAAATAAAAAAAAAAAAATAAAAAATAAGAAAAATTGAAAACGGAGTATCTAATACTTAAATCACATTAATAGAAAAAAAAAACGATAAAATATAATAGGTAAGCTAAATAAAAATTAAGTTATGTATCTTATTAAGTATATATATATATATATGGTACATTTCTTTATGTTTCATGAAATTTAATTTTTTTAAACATTCTTACAAATACGAGTACAGTGATCAAAAATATTTTGAAATAATTGATAAAATTAAACTGCAGTACAAAAACCAGTATAAACTGGTGCAACTAATACTAAAATTGATGACAACTTATAATTTGTTTACAACGATTCAGCCATGGGGATAACACCTTCACAGACGTATAATTATCGTATTTGTAATGTCAGAATAAGGCATATTGGATTAGTAAAACACCAAATAGTTATTCGGTAACTACTTTATCTACCAAATAAGAATTTATCTGCAGTCAAATGTGTATCTACTGCAAGATAATTGGATTTAACAATAATAAACAGTATTACAATATTACAGTTTCACTATTAAAATAGCAATTTAAAACCATATTATAAAATATAACTAAAACTATAACTTTACTATATTAATATATTAATTTATTATTATAGAACGTTTGATACAACTGTTGAGTTGTATGTAGGAAGTAATGCAACTGCATTAAAAAGGATAAACGATAATAATATATAGAAGTATAAGGCTCGTATGGTGTTCACGACAAGGTGCTGCTTTTAAATGAAGATGATGATGATTTTGTTTATTTTTCTATCATAAAATATGTTGTTATTCGAAGACGAATATTTTGAAGTTAATTATTATTAAATGTACGCATTTTGAAAAATATATTTAACTATGATGTAATGAATGTACAATTTTTATACACGCCTAGTATATAAATCTATATCCAGTACAAATTATTTTGTACTCATTAACCTTTTTTTAAAATCTATAATATTATGTTAATAATAAACAATTTCGTAAAAAAAATATGCTTTGGGAAAAAACTAACGGGGTAAATCGATAAAACATAAATATAATACACATATATCGTTCAAGTGTATAGGTAATTTATGGAATTTATATTACTATAATTACAAGACTCGAATACAACAGTTATTTATATTTGATTTTGTCAGTTCCTTTGAAACAAGCTATACATTATATATTTTTTCCATAATTCAGTACGTGTCATACATCAATATGGTCCTATTACAAATCGATATTGCTCCGGTATTGAGGTAAAACCGAAACATAGTTAATGGCTTAATAAACAAATAAATATGAATGATATTCACCGTATTATAATTAAATATTGTACACAAGAATTTTCTTAATACAACTGTACAAATACATTAAGTATATTTGAAGATCCTGAATAATTACCAATTTAAAGGTTTTCACTTTTTTTAGAATGTTTTTCACAGTGTCGTGTTTGTCTTGACATTGTATATAAATATCTTATACTGTTTTTTTACCGACTCGCATTTTATTTTTACAATGAAAAACACTAATCACTTTATTTGGAAGCGTATTAGGTAAATAAATGCATCCGACAACTAATTATTTGGCGAATATAGCTGCATGCTTGAAAAACCGTAACTAAGATACACGAATAGGAATTCTTTATTTTACCATTTATATCAGTAAAGACCATTGAAATTTGTCGAGAACAGAATGAAATACTATTTATTTGTTTAGAGTAAATATATTATTATTAGTCTATTGATTTTAAAACATTTTATATTATTTATGAGTTAATTAGACCGGCTCCGTACATGCGGTATTTGTTGAATACCGACTATTCGTTAGATGTTTTACCAAATCCTAAATACATTAAAAACACAAACAAATGTTTGGCAAATATCAAGCATTTGTGATTCGGCTCCGATCTTTTCCCACTAGTGTATTAGAGCTACTGTATTATTACTAATGCTTTATCAATTTGACGACGATTGTATTAGTATACATTTTTGAACATATAATCGGAAAGTGAAAATAAGACAAAAAATAAAAAATATTCGGTACTTGCCGAGCGGCTATCCGAAATCTGAATAGAGACGTACGGCTATCCACACTAGGTACTTGTTATTCGGTGAATGACAAATATTTATGTACAAATGTTCGATGAATGCTGCATGCGTGGACCCGGATTTATTAAGCAATTTATTTTGATAGGTCATAAATAATATTTGGAGATGTCCAAGCATACCCGCTCGCTCCCTCAGTTGCGCTTATTATGCCGTATGGAAATTTGAAAAATTAATACGAAAATACCACATTTCCACTGTATCTACCTTATAACAAGGGCGTAGAAAACAGGAGATGCTGCAAGGGTGGGTTATTGAGTAGAATTATTTCAGTAAATAAATAACATCAACTCTTAATTCATTCCTATTACAAATAGTTGATAGTCAACCCTTCCCTTTAAAAATGATCTCTACGTACGCCTCTACCTTTTAATATAATAGTACAAAAGTAATTTAAATTTTAACAAAAATTATTGATTATGTGCCTAATACGGAGCACACATTTGAATCCAAATGCAGTGTTAAAATATGTTCAAATATTAACATTATAATATATAGGTATATTTTCAATTTCGTTTATTATAATGAAGAAATTAATAATTATCATTAATTATGTTGATAATATTTCTATTATAGGGAAAAATTTTTATTTTCGTTTTATATTTTCTAAGAAAATATAGAAATACTAGACATGATGTGAAACGATTTACATACAAATTCATTTGCGGAACTAGAATCCACATTTTCGGGTTGCTGAAATTATGTGATACGCATCGACTCACGAGGGTTAGATAAACACCCCCAAATACCGTTCCTCATTAGTATTTATGAATGAACAGAAAAATAAAAAAATGTTGATTTTTATACTAAAGTACATTGTATTATAATACATGTATTATTGGGTGTTTTTTTAAAGTGCATTCCATAATAAATAGGTACCTACCTGTCTTAAATATTTGTAATACTTTAATATTTTTGTTCTTTTTATTAGCGACTTTTTTTACCAGATATATTGTTCCGATACAAAATGACAAGAGATCTTTTTTTGTAGTGTCTTAAATCTAATTGGTGCATCGAGAAGTAAATTTTTTACTTTCTTTTTACTTTTCATAATTATTGGGAAAAAACGTATAGGCTAAACGGACACAGGCAATGCAATTTTCATTTTAATTTTCCATTTTGTTTTTCTACCAGAAATCTGGCTCCGGATTTCATTGTAGCATTTTTTCTGAAAAGCGATTTTGTCTAGTGGGTAGATAAAAAGTGGTTTTTATTTTTATTTTTCTTATAGATTTTTGAATAATTGCGTAAAACTGGGGTCAATCTTAGTAAACACGGAACAGTTTATGAAAATAACCGTTTCATTATTTTCGATTTTATTTTTTTGTTGTAATTCGGTTCAAAGTAATCGTAAAAATGTATGTTGACAAAATACTTAAATTACCTTTTTCTAAACGAGGTAGATTTTTTTTGTCATCAATAGGCATTGAACATTTTCTATTATTTTTTTTTTCACTTTTTATTCGGTTTCATACATGGATAAAATTATGATGACTGAAAAGAAATGCTTGAAAATTGAACTCAAAATTCATTATAATTTATAAGTCGTACCTAATGGTCAAAAAAAAAATAATAATAATAATTGAGCGTGTATAGCATTTTTCTTTTATAAGAGCTTTATGTTCAAATTGATGGAAATCGTACAAATTACGTCATGTAGAAACATGTTTAACTGATTTTCGTTCAAAATCGTACTTCATTAACATTGATTTATCAACTCTTTTTCAATTTACATATTTGTATATAATTTCTGATAGAATTTTTACATAGTTTTTCTAAGGAAATAAAAATATTAACTACACCTTCTTTTAATGATAAATAATAATACATTTGCAAAACGTTGTTGCTTTATATTAGGACCCTCTGCTTTTAACCATTGTTTTAGACGGAGCATTGACAAAAAATAACTTGTAACAATTTATACACAATTAGAAAAGTATTCTCCCAACAAATATGTTTAGTTTTCTGATTTTTAGAATAGATATTTGACATAAGTACAATCTTAAATCATGTCAAATACAACGAACCACCGGAGGACGTGACTAACGGACGACGGGAGACAATGTATACGCGGGGCTGTAGCGGAAATCTCGTATAACAAGGCAATATATGATAAAAATATTAGATCAAAAAATTAAAAAAAATCAACCAACAGAAAAAAATACAGAAACTGCCTTTTTGAAAATAGTTGTTGGTGTTTTTTGGACTAAAGGTGCTGAAATAAATCTGAAAATGCTAAATTATAGCTTGGAAGAGTTTCAACACTCCCAATCACTATCTAGTTGTGCCTATGCATAAAACCTTGTTTCAAATAAATATCCAAATATATTTTATATAGAATCAATATGACAGAATACATATATTTTAATGTTTATTAGGTACCTACCTATCTACTTCTATCACATAACATAAAAATCTATTACATAACAATTCTCAAAACCTATTCATGGAATTTTCTATTCTACCCAATAAAATCTATTTTTTAACAATAATGTTTGTCAATATGTATGCGATTTAAAGTTTAAATTTTTTTTTTCACGTAAAAACTTTTACCTCTCAGTAAAAGGCATCCCTTTTGTATAGTTTATAAAATGTAAAACAAAAATAATATATGTTAATATTATTTAGCAAAACCTAAAATACTTAGGTATCTATACATTTTTCTAAGATTCTGAGTGAAGCGAGGGATTTATATTGGTTTTACTATGAAGTGTATTTTTTTTCTGTTTGTAAACAACTTTTCTCCTAGAAATCATGCTTTAATCAAAATATGACAAGAGACTTTTTTTTTTTTAATAAACAAATAAATAATAAAACATTTAATCGCTTTAAAAAAAAAAAACGAAATTTCTAAAATAATATTACAAACATTAAACGATTTATTAATTTGTTTTCTGGATACGTATATTATATGCGACAAAATCATATTATTTATCTACACAAATTATCATCAAATACTTGACATTTAAATGACGTTGGATATAATAGTATCTGATATACCTATCAAATTTATAAATCTACGGTATAAACGTATTTTACGTTGCGTGTAATGCAAATAATAATTCACGAAATTTAATTAATTTAATAAAAATGAACTTTTTAATGCATTTATTAGGCTCTAATAATTTAAATCTATTATAATAGGCGTGTACGATTATAGTATATAATATCGGTTTAGAAATAAAAATATTTTACGTAACGAATTCCGTAATTCGTCGCGTTATTTCGAACCAACCGAAAATCGTGCACGATTTAATTTTGTTAATAAATGTTTGTTATGTGTAAAAATACAAAAAAGTCTCTACGTAGGTATATTATGTTTAAAAATATTAAAAAAAAAATAATAATAATAATAATAACAACAACAATAATATATGTATGCATACGGTTTAAATACCTTGAAGATGACAATCTAGAAAATTGAACGACGAAAGCCCGAAAATTACAACATAAACTACCGCAGCTAAGCTGATGTGCTTCATGGTTGAACCTAGACTTGAGTTTAACCAAACGGGTGTCACTCACAACAAGTAGGTATTCCGTTTTTACGCCGACGGTGGCGCGACCGCTCTAACTCTGCGCACTACCTACTCTTTTATTATTATTTTGTTTATACATACAGGGTATTCCGAATTTCGCGCGACAGTGGATCGACGGCACAGATTTCCGTTAGAAATATTAAATCACCATTAATATTGTTTCTGTTTCAACGGCGTATATAATAGGTATATCTATCATATACGTGAACGATTATTCGGCAACATAACACGGTTCGTATTTTAAATGAATTCGATACCTACACTATGTATAGGAATTTATTTTTTTATCGATTTCGTGTGTATTAATTAAAAAAAAAAAAAAACGGAAATTGAAATTTGAGGGGTAAATTTCAAACTACTGAAATGTAAACTCGCCTTTAGAATGTATACATATTCCACTGCAGTTAGTATAGTAAATATAATATTTGACAGACCCTGTATGCGCACAGGTATATAGTTGAATGGATGATCTATACCTACCGTACAGCCTTATACGCTGTCATGTTTTTTTTTTTGTTTTTTTTTAAATTTAACATATTCGGATTTTTTTCCAATTCGATAATTATTAACCAACATATTATACATATATTATTAAAATTATTTTATATCGTTATCGATTTATTGCAATATACTTAGGTACAAGGCTGCATTATTATTATGATAAGCATGTAATAACCCTCGTTTGAAAAGTAAATATTTTTCAAGTTCATGAATTTAATATATTATGCTCACCGCTCGGCATTTGTTTAGATAATTTTATCTTGTAATTGGCAACCCAATTAAATAATAATTACATTTTCTAATTTAATTTTTGGTCCCGATATTAATTTTTGAGTAGTCATCGCTATTTGGGTAGGTAGACAGGTCCTATATCTATCTACTATAACACAAGAACAAACAGAATATAGCAAGTGGTTTAAAAAAATTACGCGCGTCTTATAAGTTTTTGAAATACAATTAAATTGTATAATGGTTTTATTACGCTCCAATTTTAGTTTAATTTGCAATCGAAATTACTGGTAGGTGTATGCAATGGAGATAGATACGTAGTTTAGACTTTTGTAAAAATGATTTATTTTAAAATCAAATCCGGAAACAAGCAATTTCAAAGTATTAACGATATTAATAGGACAAAATACACATTAAAATATTATTATGCTAATCGAAAGCTTAAAAACATTAAAACGTATTTGAGCTATACCTACGTACCTGCTATATTTAATGAAGTGTTTTTATTAACATTGAACGTAGGTATAAGTATACTTATTCAATTATTTGAATCAAAACGTTACGCAATATACAACATTAATAATTATAATAATTACCAACAATTTAGTATTGTTCCAAATATAACGACTAATCCTTCAAACGTCAAAAATGGCATGAACCAACATCTTGATAAATTATTCAAAAAGCACGTACGATCATTCTGATTTCCAATGACAATAACATACTATACAGCGACGTCTAGTCAATAGGTAATCTCTCGGTATGGAAATTCAAAATACGTAATTATACATTCAAATTTCAAACTTACGTTCACGTAAATTCTATACCAATTTAATAAATAGCATGGTACTTATAATGGTAACATTTTCTGTAAGGGATAATTTGAGTGAACAATAGGTAGTTTACCGTACATAACTTTTTAATAGGAGGAAGGGCAAAAAAGGCAATGGAAAAGATTTAACCCTACATCTCCTTGTATTATACGCCCTTGTTAAGGTATGTATACATATACCCAATGGTTCCTAATAAAATGATAAAATGTCCTAAAATACTTTCGTCGTAATATGAAATTTCGAAACATCGCTTGTTTTTATAATTCGGTATACTAAGTGTTATTTCCTACTATTACATAATAATAATAATGTAATCTTTTTTTAAAAACCGTTAAGAACAATTTCAGATTTTTTTTTTATAAATAAATGAATAATATGTAAGTATTTTATACTTGCTCAAAGTACGTTATCGCTTTGCATGTCGACATTAATAAATGCCCATCGATTTGTCATTACTACAATTATCGTAAGTAGGTACTTAAACGTCGATAAGCGAAAACCCAATGCAGCGGCCAAACTTGTACTGAAATATGGCATTCATTTTATTTCTACAAAATACAAATATTGTCCAATTTTGAAACTGAACGACGGTTTATTTTCATTTTAGCTTTGTGTTGTCTTGATTAGATGATAATAATATATTGATATTGTCAAACTTATATAATGGTAAGTATCGAATCCCTTAATTTGAATTACAATAAATTATTTATCAGGAATTGAGATGTTATTTGCCTGTTAAATATGGTTTCTAATATATATTTTATAACTCTTATTATAATGAGGTACAAACATGGTTTTCAAGATAAGTTTAGTAGTTATCAAACCATTTTTTTTGTTTTAAATAAGGTGAAAACAGAAAATGGCGTGTCAATATGGAATGATCGATTTCTGTTTTTAAGTGCAATAAATTGCGAGGGAACTGTATATTTTGTGCTCAATGCCTAATACTTAATTTCATCGGTAAATTTATTAAATAGCATTTTTTGATTCTAAATAAAGCAAAAACGTACTATAAGTAAGTATTGATTTTATAATAACGTAGGTAGGTATATATTTATTTTAGAAAACGATTTTTGTGATAACCGATAACGTTAAAACCATTTATTTTTTATTACAAAATAGTCGAATGCCCGTTAAAATATTATATAGTAAAGTCAATAATATTGTATTATTAAAGTACGTATAATATCAACTCTTGATAAAACGTTCAATTTTTATAGAAAAAAATAAATATCTTGTTTTAAATACAAACTCGGATAATAGGTAATACTTAATACTGTTAAAACGTATCAAAATATTATATTATATTTATTTAGTATAATTACATAAGTATCTACCTATAATGGCTATCACAGTCTACCAATGTAGAAATTATATCTTTTTGGTAGGTACTTTATAACAGGTAATTTTTTTTTTTTACTTTCCAAGCGGTTTTCATAATAATTGCGAAAAACCGGGAAAAAACGTAGGAAATACGGGAATATTTATCGTTCGTGCACCTATAAAAGAAAATTCACTCCGAATCATTTTTCGTTAGCAATGGATTATTGTTGCGTACAGATAAAAAATTAAATTCACCTCTATATCCTACCTTCTCAACTTCTCATCTACAGCAGTAGTTTACTCATCGTGCGATGTGTGTCCGTCTTTTTTAAATATAATATTAAAGATAACCACTATGCCACTATGCTATGCCATTATGAAATAAACACGCATGACCGTTATCGTGGTTAATTTTTAATCGATTTCTGTTATCAATAAAATTAATCTGTTTAATGCATGGCCTTATCACAAATAGCAATCAATTAACATTAGTATAGTAGGTACGTTTACACATGAAATATTCATCAACTTATTTTCAAATTTTCAATCGTGATTTTTATTATTTGGCAATTCGTAGGTAACTGTAATTTAATACTCATGGTTACATAAATAGGAAAAAAAGGTCAATTAAAGGGGGAAAGAGTGTCCCTCATATCTTCTCCCGTAAATACGCTCCTATACTAAACATAGTCATATTCCCAACAAAATCAAGAGTAAAATTAATAGTAACATTGATTTTAAACTTTCTTCAAATCTTCATAAACTAATTTTTTATATTAGTTTATATTATTTTATATATTTTAATCTTATTTAAAGTTTAATTCATAGTATCAAGTATTAGAAATGTTTATATTCAAACGGACTCTCGTAAATACGTAGTGCAAAAAATGTGTACGATTTTTAAGCGTAACATAAAATGCGTAAAAGGAAAAAAATATTAAAATATAGAAAGACGTCTATAGAAAGTACTTACTGCGTATCTATATCCAAATGGGTGTATTTGATTTATATAAAAAAAAAAAAACAAACAAACAAAAGCTATGTAATATTATTGTATTCGTGTACAATGGATTACTAAAACAACTTTTAAAAATCATAAAAATATAATATTCCATTTTAAAACGATATTAACCCAATGATGGTTCCGACATCTATCATTAGAAAAAAAAAAAAAAGAAAAAAATATTACATTCGACTGATTTATATCTATTATATACTATGGGTACTGGTCATTTTTATAGGAAGTGAACGTAGGAATTGAATTTTAGTGATAATAAAGATACGAATCATTTTCTCGCGTAATATGTAATAGGTAACGTAATATTTTAGTTTACTATTAGATATAAATCATATTCATTGGCCATTGAACAAACATAAAAGACAACGTTAATAATACAAATTGTTCAAATAAATATTATGGCATGTATATACCTACTGTGTCGCATAAACGACAACGTAGCACGTCATTATACCTCATGATATCATTACATGTAGTTGGGCAATAATAAAAATAAATTGCAAACGCCACACCATTATTTATAGGTACCGAAATATTCCTAGTAATACTTAAAATTCTGACCTAAGCGAGTAAACTGTTCGTTTTACCATAGGCGTGTTTTGGCGATGACGTTTTGAGGAACCTGGTTATAAGTCAAGTGAACAAACTGTTTTGGCGACATAGGTAATTTAAAGTAATTGTTTGATAGCTGAATGCACTTTTCGGCAACCGGATTACCGAAATCAGCAAACAATTGATAACTACGTTTACTGTTTTCGGTTACTAATAATCTACTGATTAGGACTATCATTCCATCCATTCTCTATAACAAAAAACACTATACAGTAAATAAAACTTTTTGGCGAATAACGGACCAAGTAGCAAACAACGCAACAAACTGAAAGTAGCATGGCCAAAACACGCCTATAATTGCAGTGCTTGGATGAAACAGATTCAAATGGTTCTAACTCGTTCCTTTGATTTCGTTCACTTTACAGTAATTTGTCGGGAAAAGATCTGTGAATAGACTGTGTATTGATCATCTGTGTACCTACCGGAATTTCGCTTCTTGGAAAAAACTAACTAATTTAAATAATTTTTAAAGATAATATGCATTATAATATGTGTATATGGTTATT